AAATTCACAAAATTTGGGATATAAGATTTTGCCACATCTACCATATTCTTCTGATATCTTACCCACTGACTAACACTCTTTCAAGTATCTTGACAATTTTTTAAACCAAAAGACATTCCATTGCGAAGAAGATGCAGAAACTGCATTCAAAGATTTCTTGGCATCCAAACCAAATGAGTTTTATCGTAAAGGCATAAATAACCTTGTAATTCAAAAAAAAGCAAAAAAAACAAATAAACCTGTGTCAGAAATGTCTCAGATAATGGTGCCAGTATTTCAACAAAATCCCAAGAGAATTGGTAAAGTGAAGAAACATGATAAATAGATTCCACATGAAACTCAGTGAAAGTCGAAGAGTTTGATATTTTCAAGTGTGTTCAATGCTGCATTTGAAAAATTCGAATGATCAATTTATTGATTGGATAGTGACTTGTGATAAGAAATAGATCCCTTATGAAAATCATAAATGAATGGGTCAATAGCTTGACCATGACGAACCCTCTGAATACTTTCCAAAACTGAAATTGCACCAACAGATGATTATGATGACTTCCTGGTGGTTTGCCATTGGTGTTATCCATAACAGCTTTCTGAAATCTAACCAGTTTATCACTGCCAAAGTTTACTGCCAATAAATAGATGAAATTCATGTTCAGTTAAGCAAAATGAAACCAGCACTTGTTAATTGACAAGGTCCAATTCTGCACCATGACAAAGGTTGGCCATATGTTTCCAGGATGACACGGCAAACATTGGGATACAAGACTTTGCCACTTCCACCATATTCTCCTGATATCTCACCCACTGACTACCACTTTTCAAGCATCTTGATAATTATTTTAAGCCAAAAAATATTCTGTTGCAAAGAAGATGCAGAAACTGCATTCAATGATTTCTTGATGTCCAAATGTTAGAGATTTATTGTAAAGGCATAAATAACATTGTAATTCAAGGTCAGAAATGTATAGATGTTCAGGGACCCTGTTCTGACAGATTTTAACACTGTTTAACTACATTCATTCAGAAATAAAGTTGATTCCAAAATATTGTAAAGGCATAAATAACATTGTAATTCAACATCAGAAATGTATAGATGTTCAGGGAGCCTATTTTGACAGATTTCAACACTATTCTTGAATTAATGTATTTAAGCAGTGTTGAGATCTGTCAAAATAGGCTCCCTGAACATCTATACATTTCTGACCTTGAATTACAGGGTTTTTTTATATCTTTATGATATTTTGGAATCAACTTTATTCCTGAATTAATGTATTTAAACAGTGTTGATTCCAAAATATCATAAAGGCATAAATAATAATTCAATGGCAGAAATGGATAGATGTTCAAGGTGACTATTTTGATTGATTTCATTATTGTTTAAATACATTAATTCAGGAATAAAGTTTGATTCCAAAATCCTGACATTATTTTCCACACAGCCTAATAAATATTAATTGATACTTTCCAAGCAAAAAAAAACAAAACAAATATTCTGCATCAAAATGCCGAAGAGAAATATCGTTCACATATATCAAACATATTTAATTCAGATATGTTCATGTTAATATTTATTACATACTAGCAGTAGAGCCCGGCGTTGCTCGGGGATGTAACAATAAGAGATAGATCAAGTATCGACCATCATAAAGACTGCAAAATTAAATTGACAAAGATTATTGTTTAAGGTTGACAGACACGCATGTCTTAATTAGTTTTTTTTTTGTTTTGTTTTTTTTTTTTTTACGAATTGGTCAAACCCAAACTCAAACAAAAACATTGTTTTCAATCGTTATGAGTCTACTGATTGAATAGAATTTTATTATAAACAATTGTCTTGTAAATGGAATTTTTAAAGCATTCTGAATGTAAAAATAAAGAAAAAGTGTGCAAGACAATAAGAAACACTACCTGCCAAAAAAAAGTGAAGTCTTGTTGAAATCGGTTGATAAATGTAGGAAATCCGATCCCATATATAAATGAACATATACACACACACACAAACAACATGGGTTTTATAATAAGTATAACTCGATATGAATTGTCCCCCTTTCATTCTCATGATGCCTCTTAATTGTGTTTTCAAATTGATTTCGTGCAAAAACAATTGTGTTTTTCCAATTTTTGGTGCTGTTAGAACCACCGCAAGGTAATTTTATGTAGTCCTGTGAAGTTTTGTTGAAATCGGTTGAAAAATGTAGGAAATCTGATCCAATATATAAACGTACAGACACACACACACAATCAGCGTTTTATAATAAGTAAGATTTATTTCAATGTGTTTTGTTTTTTTTTAAATATTTTCCTCTTGTGCATCTTTAGAACCAGTCAATGATGGTAACAATTAACCAGTGAAAAATATAATCCATCTGATCTAAGGTCCAAACATAGCAATGTTAGTGTGACTTAAAATATACCAATTGCATCCTCTCCAATGGGATAACTACCCTCAAAGAAAAGGGACACCTTCCAGTTATATGCTTGAAGACTCAAATATAAACCATATATTTGTGTATTTTTTTTTTTTTTATTCAAGTATAAACCAGACCTTTTTTCACTTTTGTGACTCATATATACACCAAACCTATGTCTACCCTTTGACTAGTATATTGTACTTTTAGACAAGTATAAACCAGACCTATATCTATCATTTGAGTGTAAAGCAAACCTATGTCTCCCCTTTGACACAAGTATAAACCAGACTAATACCTACCCTTTGACAAATATAAAACAGATCTAAGTCTACCCTTTAACTTAAGAAAAAAACAGGGTTATCTACTCTTTGTCTCAAATATAAGCAAGACCTACCTCTACTCTTTGACTCAAACCAGGCATATGTCTACCCTTTGACTAAAACATAAACCATGTCCAAGTCTACCTTTGACTAAAATATAAACCAAACCTAAGTCTACAATTTTAGTCAAGAATTCACCAGGCCTAAGTCTATTTATATATTATTTCAATTCAAGAAAGGCAATAAAGCCACTAAGATGAAAGGGGGTTAATGAGTGTGAGAGAATATAAGAAAAAGAGAACATTATTAAGGAGAGAACCATAAAGGAACAAGAATTAAGACAGAAGATAACAACTAACATTGTATTTAAATATTTTAAGATCAAATTTGATTGAAAAGCAAGAGATTTCCACAAACAAGAAGTGCGAGACAAGAAACTGTTAGTGTAGAACTTACAAAGATTGAGGGGGAGGTGATAATTTGACTTTGTAAAGTCTTCAATTCATCCAAAAAAAAAAAAAAAAAAAAAAAAAAAAAAAAGAAGAAAGCAGATAAAGTGTAACTCCTAAATTTTATCTTCCAGAAATAATTGCAAAAATTGTCAAAATTTTTCTTTTAATTTTTATCCATTTTTCTTTGAAGGCAATTATTGTATGACAGGAAATGGACAAGACACTGGAAGATTCCTTGAATGGCAACCATTCTAAGAAAAGGAAAACTAAATTATAAATTGTGGAAAAGACAAGAAACCACTCCACTATCTGTCTGGGAATTGAGAGTTATTAAAAAAAAGGAATCTGTGGAGAAACATGATTCCTTACTTTGTGAATGGTATTAAAAAAAAATGCAGAAATTATTTCCAACATTATAATCAACAACGGACATCTTTTTTTCTAAATGCACAAATATTATGACTGGACTATCATTTTGACATGGATGAGGTTGCTGTCTTTTAAAATAAAGGAATTCAACATATGGAAGATTTTTATGGATACATTTTCATAAAGAACAATATGACTCAAAGAAGAGAGAAAGAGAAAATTATATTTATATGTATACATATAGCTAAAAAATAATGAAAACATTTACTGTATTTTGCAGCTCATAAGATATTTTTTCTTATAAAATATCTCCAAAAATCACCCTACATCTGTGGTGAATGGTCACATAGAAGCAAGCAAGCCAGAGTGGCTTGTATTTGGTGCAAAGTAAAACAAGTGTCTTACTTCAACGTGCGGCACGTGGCATTGGCATTTTGCTCCTTGAAAATGGCATTACTCTCCCATCTAACAATTCCATCAGTATGTGCTATAACAGTGGTGGGATGTATAATTTTGCATGGTTCAACCAATAGTAAATCATGTGCTGATTGGTTGAATTTGAGGAGGCTATTTGCCTGAGTAACTGAGAACAAAAGCAAAGAACACTGATTGGTTGATCGGCCGTAGTGTTGGTCTGATAAAAGAGGCTCTGAAGCAGTGATAAGGTAGAATGGTTTTCCATTGCTGAAGTGTGTGGAACACAAGAACAGTGGATTGAACATGCGGTATCTTGTATTGTATGAATGACATCCGAGGAATAGAGACTCATTTAACTACAACATCCTATAAATCAAAGGTTGGTGACAGGAATTATAAGTTTGGAGTGTAAGATGAATATCAGCTCCAGTTATATCAGATTCTGAACTCTTGAAAAATAAAACAAGTCCAGGGTTTCAAAATTGAATTAACATTTTAAGAGAAGCTATTTATGCAGTTGGGATACTGGGATATTGACAGGAGAAACAAAATTCCTGCTTCAGTAACACCTTCCTTTGTTCCTTATCTCTTAAACTACTGTTCACAAAGCAGCATCATTTATGGTGGGCACTTTAAGAATAATACTACTGTATACTATGCTTTTTTTAGTACAGGCTGGGTATTCCTGCTTGATTAAGCAATCCTATTTATGGTACTTAAAGGTGTCGAATAATGCCACACAAATACTGTAGACGACCAATAACTGAAATATCCATTTTTATTTATTGTCACCGACGATGACACATCAATATGCACTCTGAGATCATCAATAGATTACTGTATTTTGATGCTTATAAGATGCATATTTTTTTCCTATATACAACAACCAACCAGTGTCCTATAAATTGAAAGTCGATGTGGGGGGTTATAAGTTTGGGATCAGCTCCCCAGTTATATCCAATTCTGAGCCCTTAAAAGTAAAACAAGTACATTGTTTCAAAATTAAATTAACATTTGAGAGAAGCTATTTTATGCAGTTGGGATACTGGGATATTGACAGGAAATTAAATTTCTGCTACAACAACACCTGCATAACTAACACATTCCTTCCTTCTTTCTTTCCTTCCTTCCTTCCTTCCTTATTTCCTACCTTCCTTCCTTCCTTTCTTATTTCCTTCCTTCTTTCTTTCCTTATTTCATTCCTTCTTTCCATCATTCCTTATTTTCTCCCTTCCTTATTTCTTTCCTCCCTTCCTTCTTTTTCCTTCTTCCTTATTTCTTTCTTTCCTTCCTTCTTTTTCCTTCTTCCTTATTTCTTTCTTTCCTTCCTTTTTTCCTTATTTCCTTCCTTCTTTCCTTCCATCATTCCTTCCTTTCTTCTTTCTTTCCTACCTGCTTTATTTCCTTCCTTCTTTCCTTCCTTTTTTCCTTCCATCATTCCTTATTTCCTTCCTTCTTTCCTTCCATCATTCCTTCTTTCCTTCCATTTTTCCTTCCTTATTTCCTTCCTTCCTTCTTTCCTTATTTCTTAAACTACTGGTCACAAAGCAGCCTTATTTATGGTAGACACTTTAAGAATAATACTACAATATACTCTATTCTTTCATTAGCACATTCTGAGCATTTCCACTTTATTAAGTAATCATACTGAATTTGTCATGATTTGTCAAATTTTTAGGTTGAAATATGTTAGTCCGGGGGGTAAAATTGGGGATAGCAAGAAGAACTATGAAGTACAAGGAAAACATTTTTGTCTTGATTTCTTCCTTCAAAATTTGAAGCATCTTATAAGCAGTGAAATATGGTATATGATTAGTAGTAGTGTGTGATGTGCCACATGGTTGTATGAAATTAAGTTATCAGCTTGGCCAAGAACTAAGATGCCTTTTAGGAGAAGTAAGAGTCCAACATTGTCACTATTAAATCCCAAAACAAAAAGGGAAAGGGTTTATGCTCCTTCCTTTTATAGTAGTAGATAAAATGCCACTTAGTGAGCATTCTAGCAGACAAGATTGCTTAATCCCAAATATATCAAATATAATTTTTTTCCTGTGAGTGCCACCTACCTCCACTTTACATGAGTGTATCAAATTAATTTTATGTAAAATGTTAATAAGCAAAAAAATGCCTTTCGAAAGCTAAGCAAAGTATTAAAAAACAGGAAAATTTCATTAGAAACAGAGAAACTGCTACATAATATCAGTCCCCATATATGGCAGTGAATGTTGAACAATTTCCTCACAGATGAATAGGAGACTTGAGTGAACAAAGATATGGTTCTACAAAAGGACTCTCACAATACCATGGAAAGAATATGTAAGCACCAAGGTAATTTTCAATAAAATAGAAACAAATGTAGAATTCTACATACAACAAGAAAGAGACAGCTGAAATTACTGGGACACATAGTGAGGAAAGAAGGCTTTGAGAAATTGACACACAAAGGACATTGGAAGCAAAAGTGAATAGCCTACTTAATGAGTTTGTTTTAAATAGATAGCAGGACCAGGAGTGGAAAAGATAGTAAAAAAAAAACATTGCCAAAAGCTACAAAGACTAGGAAGTTGTGGAGATCCATGATCAACCTACTTAATGAGCTTGTGTAAATGGATAACAGAACAAGAAATGGGAAAAATAGTAAAAAGACAAACATAGTTAAGAACTACAAAAGATAGGAAGTTGTGGAGAGCCATGATCAACCTACCTAATGTGCATGTGTAAATGGATAGCAAGACAGGGAGGGGCAGAGATAGTAAAAAGATAAACATTGCTAAGGACTACAAAAGATAGGAAGTAGTGAAGAGCCATGATCAACTAACCTAATGAGTTTCTGTAAATACATAGTAGAACAGTGAATGGGAAGAAAAGAAAACATTGCTTTGAGCTCTAAAGGATAGGAAGTAGCAGAGAGCCATGATCAACCAACCTAATGAGCATGTGTAAATGGATAGTAAAACAGGGAGTGGAACAGATAGTAAAAAGACAAACTTTGCTAAGAGTTACAACGGATAGGAAGTTGTGGAGAGCCATGATTACCTATGTCATGAAGGGAGTAGAAATCCTAATTGTCTGTTAATTATAATTATGCCTATCTATAATAAAAAGTGGGAAGTAGTTGTTAGAAAAAACAGAAACAAAAATTAAAATAGAAAATTCATCTAAGCTTCCTTTCTGGAAAGATAAAAAAATCTGATTGCAAAGTACAAGTGTGCTCTAAAGTCAGAGTGAAAAAAGAAAAAAATCTTGGTGAGAAAACATTTCCTTTTACATTTTTATTTGAGTAATGCACTATTTTTTCTGGAAATAAACTTCTACACAAGAAAAAACGAAAATTCAAAATGAAGAAAAACCTTGTTCATTTTCTGGTTCATCTGAATGAACAATGCAGAAAAATGTTAATTTCAAATCGGCATTTCTAATTTCAGTAAATGAATTATAAATTGAATTTTTCATTTGTCACAGACAAAACAATGAAGGCAAAAGAGTAGTCATCTTGGTAGCATCTTGAAGAACAGTGAAGGAATTAATAAAAATTATCAAAGACTTTGACAAATAAAGAACAATTTGATAAAAATGAAGAACTTGAAATGGCTGGTGATACTGAGCATTCTGCAAAGTGGCAGTTGGATTTGTTATATAGGAATAAAGTGTCACTGCCGACACTTGAGTTTGAACATAGATCGCCATTGAGCAAATACAGGCAATCCCATTATTGAATTAAGTAGACAACATGACCATAGAAGAAATGCATATATATAGGAAGTAGCTGATGACTAACAATTGCCATTACTAGTCTATCTTCCATTAGTATACAATCTTTATTTCTAATCTATTGTTATACGATCTTTATTACTACTCTATCCTCTATTACTATACGGTCTTTATTTCTACTCCATCCTTTATTTCTACTCCCATCCCTCTATTACTATACGGCCTTTTATTTCTATTTCTATTACTATAATGGCCTTTATCCTCCATTACTATACGGCCTTTATTTCTACTCTATCCTCTATTACTATACGGCCTTTATTTCTACTCCATCCTCTATTACTATACGGGCTTTATTTATTCCATCTTTTTATTTCTATATCCTCTTTATTACTATTCCATCCTCTATTATTACTATATGGTACTATTCCATCCTTTTATTTCTATTACTATATGGCCTTTATTCTTTACTCCATCCTCTATTACTATACGGTTTTATTTCTTTATTTCTATACGGCCTCCATCCTATATGGTCTATTATTACTATTATTTATGGCTGGCTATACGGCCTTTATTTCTACTCCATCCTCTATTACTATACGGCCTTTATTTCTACCATCCTCTATTACTATATGGCCTTTATTACTACTCTATCCTCTATTACTATACGGCCTTTATTTCTACTCCATCCTCTATTACTATATGGCCTTTATTTCTACTCTATCCTCTATTACTATACTCATCCTTTATTACTATCCATTCTCCTATATGGCCTTTATTTCTACTCTATCCTCTATTACTATATGGCCTTTTATTTCTATTCCATCCTCTATTACTTACGGCCTTTTATTTCTACGGGTCTTTATTACTATTCCATCCTCTATTACTATACGGCCTTTATTTCATCCATCCTCTATTACTATATGGCCTTATTTCTACTCCATTCTACTATATGGTCTTTTTTCTATTCCATCCTTTACTATATTCCTTTATTTCCCATCCTCCATTACTATACGGCCTTTATTTCTACTCCATTCTATTACTATATGGTCTTTATTTCTACTTCCATCCTCTATTACTATATGGTCTTTTATTTCTATCCTCTATTACTATACGGCCTTTTATTTCTCCATCCTCTATTACATCCTTATTTCTATTATTACTATATGGTCTTTTATTTCTATTCCATCCTCTATTACTATATGGGTTTTATTTCTATTCCATCCTATTACTATACGGCCTTTATTTCTACTTATCCTCTATTACTATATGGTCTTTATTTCTACTCCATCCTCTATTACTATACGGCCTTTATTTCTACTCCATCCTCTATTACTATACGGCCTTTATTTCTACTCCATCCTCTATTACTATATGGTCTTTATTTCTACTCCATCCTCTATTACTATACGGCCTTTATTTACTTTTATTTCCTCCTCCATTACTATACCCTTTTATTTCCTCTCCATTCTATTACTATATGGCCTTTATTTCTACTCCATCCTCTATTACTATATGGTCTTTATTATTATCCTATATTATATAATGCCTTTTATTTCTATTCCTCTATTACTATATGGTCTTTATTTCCTCCATCCTCTATTACTATATGGCCTATTCCATCCTTATTACTATACGGCCTTTTATTTCTCCATCCTCTATTACTATATGGCTATTCTATCCTCTATTACTATATTACTTTACTCCATCCTCTATTACTATATCCTTTATTACTATTCCACTATATATACGGCCTTTATTTCTACTCCATCCTCTATTACTATATGGTCTTTATTACTATTCCATCCTCTATTACTATCTTTTATTACTATCCTCTATTACTATACGGCCTTTATTTCTATTCCTCTATTACTATACGGCCTTTTATTTCTACTCCATCCTCCATTACTATATGGCCTCTATTACTATACGGCCTTTTATTACTATATGGCTTTATTTCTTCCTCTATTACTATAATGCCTTTTTATTTCTACTATTACTATATGGTCTTTATTACTATTCCATCCTCTATTACTATACGGCCTTTATTTCTACTCCATCCTATTACTATATGGTCTTTTATTTCTATTCCATCCCTATTACTATACGCCTTTTATTTCTACTCCATCCTCTATTACTATATGGTCTTTATTACTATTCCATCCTCTATTACTATATGGCCTTTATTTTACTCCATCCTACTATATGGTCTTTATTTCTTACCATCCTCTATTACTATACGGCCTTTATTTCCTCTATTACTATATGGTCTTTATTTCATTCCATCCTCTATTACTATATGGCCCTTTTATTTCTATTCCATCCTCTATTACTATATGGTCTTTTATTACTATTCCATCCTCTATTACTATATGGCATCCTTTACTATATGGTCTTTTATTTCTATTCCATCCTCTATTACTATACGGTCTTTATTTCCTTTTATGGTCTTTTTTATTCCATCTCTTTTACGGTCTTTTATTTCTCCATCCTATTACTATTACTATATCCTCTATTACTATGGTCTTTTATTTCTACTCCATCCTCTATTACTATATGGTCTTTATTACTATTCCATCCTCTATTACTATACGGCCTTTATTTCTACTCCATCCTCTATTACTATATGGTCTTTATTACTATTCCATCCTCTATTACTATACGGCCTTTATTTCTACTCCATCCTCTATTACTATATGGTCTTTATTACTATTCCATCCTCTATTACTATACGGCCTTTATTTCCTATTACCATCCTCTATTACTATATGGCCTTTTATTTCTACTCTATTATTACTATATTACTATTCCATCCTCTATTACT